TGCATCCGCTACATGCACACCGGAAGACAGCAGCGTCAGCTTCTGCATGTCAAGGTCGCCGGCGTTTCTGGTCTTGTCGAGGTACTGGCGCTGTAAATCAAATCAAATTGGGGCCGGCCTGGTAATCTTCTTGCGGGGCTTCACAAGAGTCAAGGTTTCCTTGATGTGATGAGCGTAAGCACGACCGAAGACAACGATGTCGAGGAGCGAGTCTGCATCAAGGCGGCTCACGTCATAGACAGAGACACATGCAGCCTCACCAGACCAGAAATAGTCTTGTCTTTGTCGTTCTCATCAACGAAGATGGATTCACAAGTGTGGTGAGTAGGAATGGCACCCACCTAACGGGGCGGTCTCTCCGCGAGACCGAAAGCTGCTCGCGGACCAGCACCTCCAGCACCACTGCCCGAGGGTCGGACAACATCGCGGAAAGAAGCTATGGCACGCACAAAACAATGGCGTCGTATTCATATTAAACGAAGACAGAGTTTTCCTGAAGGCTATGGCTGCGAAGCGTCTTCAGCGTGGATTGTAGGTGGCGTCTGCGGTTAAGCGCCTGCCTTCTAGTGGCCTAAAGGCCGCTGGAGCCACCTCTTTTGACTTCCATCATCAAACATAGCCCCGCTTCACAATTATCTGTTGTCTTCTACAATTTTTTACGCATACCTTCCCCTTTCCACCCTGCATACACGTTCCGTGAGCATAGCGGTTTACTCCGAGATTTACTAACTCAACTTTCATGTACAGCGCAATGCCAAAAGACGCGACAAAACCAAGGCAGCCACACCAGGAACGTCCCGCACGCCTGCGCATGAATGATTGGTTCATGCCCAAAGTGGACCAGCTCGACCGCATGCGCTCGTACACCTTCTGCAAGCACTCAAAAGTAGCGCACCAGGACGACCCGGCGGTATGCACGCCTTTCTACAAGGCCCTGCTCGAGGTCCCACATGCTGTTCTAGTTAATCACCGCAAAGAGTCGCAGCCCGTTGTCCATCACCCTCCGCCGAACCAATCGACATGCCGGCAGCAAACGGTCCTTCTGTCGCCTTCGTCGGTCGCGAGCTCGAGCAAGGAACTTGATACGGAGTTTGTGTACAAGGGATTCAGGGGCACTAGCCCCGTTTTTCAGTCTGAGATTGTCATGAAGCTGCGCGGGGGGTCGAACGGCACCGTCTGGCTGAGGAGGGCACGTCAGGCGACCTGGGAGACCGACATTTCATCAGCAAGAGCTGGCCTTTATGCAAACCATATTCTCTGGGCACGATGTTAAACGAGGTGAGTGCATCGGCGTGTCATAGGTAGACGGGCACTTACAAATAACCCGTATGTGCAGATCGCGCTGTACGACTCGCCACATTATCTGAAGAAGCTGCAGGGTTTCGTCGTCCCGCGCATCATAGGCGCATATACAGACCATGCGACTGCCTCCCTCGCCATGCACGTCCCCGACCCCAGGCTCTGGATCGAGGCGGGCGTCGGCATGCCCGGCCACGCGAAGGAACGCTGCCTCTGGGCGCTGCAGCAGCTGCACAACAAAGGCATCCTCCACGGCCACATTCAGCTCCACCACTTCATCATCACCTCCGACTGGTGCGTGCAGATCGTCGACTTCTCGCGGGCGCGTGTGCGCGAGCGGTATGAGGACGTGCTCTTGGACCTTGCCGTGCAGGGGGAGTTCGAGCAGGAGATGCGGACGTTGGAAGACATGCTTGGGGTGCGCAGCTGTAGAGGTGCAGGAGCGTCAGTACCAGAAACAGAAGGCGCGTCGTCGATATCCGAGTCCGCTTCAGCCACTCGCGATCGCCCGCCCCCGCCGATGCGCGTCATCGTGCCGGGGCAAATGCACGCTTCGGCGCGACACGCGCTGAACGAGATGCTGGACGTGTTCACTGTCCCGGAGCTCTGTCTGCCCCCGCCGATCCCGCAGAAGGATTTCCAACACCTCTATGGCCGACCTGCCCCGAACAAACTGAAGACGGAGACACGGCCCACATACCTTGGGCTTCAAGCAAAGACCGATGACGTCCGTGCCAAAGGCGAAACGGACCATGTCGCTCGGGCACAGAAGGACACACACCGCCTCATCAGCCGACGCAGTAAGACACATCACCCTGAGAGATGGTGTTCCGAGCTGGAGGAACGTCACGGTCCGCCTATAATTTCCGACGAGAAAGCCCAGGAGCACCCTCAGCGGCAACCGAAGCCTGCGTCGCCAAAAGCAGGTCAGCCGCTGAAAGGCTGTCTGCGCAACGACCCTGCTTGGCGGCCATCGAAGAGCGAGCATCTGCGTATGCAGACGGCATTGGCGCGGCAGAATATGGATCGTGGTAGCCTAAGCGAGGAAAACTCTGAGTTTCGGCACAGCGAGAAGGCGCATCGGACACACCAGCCTCGCACTCATGAGCTAAAAGCGCCGTACCCCTATAGCGGGTCGTAATCCGTTGGTCTACGTTGATATTGCCATGCTCCACTGCTATACGGGCGTAAAGCTATTCTTCTTGAAATATAACTTAGATGCAATACTATTCTGCTGTCTCAAGCTAAAAGTTTCGATAAGGGCTTAGTGCTCCGAAGAGACAAGGCTTGACGCATGTGGAAGAGTAAGGATTATAGCACTACAAGAAGCCAGTAAAACGCCACTTAATGTA